TGTTGTATTCAGGTTTAAATTTTCTCTTTTTGGAATGGGTGTTTTCATTACCACTCCTTTTGCGCCTACAATAATTAGAAAAAAAATTGCATGGATTAGATTAATATATATTTGGAACCTTGATATTCATGTGAATCCAAGAAAATTTGAGATGAGAGTAAGGAGGATGTGACGGCACGCAACCATCCAATACCATGGGCTAAGATATCGTATGAAAAATCAGTTCCTATTATTGAATATGATATACATAAACTGACTAAAATCACAGCCCTACAAAACTCATCTCAATCAGATATCCATATTATGGTCTAGAAAAAAGGAGAAAAATGAAGGGAGGCAGTATACATGGAGAGATTTTTCAATGCCTCGGGAACATGGTTAGGCATACCGAGTGTCATAATACAAGTGGTTGGAAATTTTTTTTCAAGTATACAACCACTTGTATTATGACATTTGGTGTACCGGACCGTATTTCTAACACTGCCACATTGAATTTTTTTTCATATAATAGCCAATACACTTCATATATCAAAAGAATAATTAATTGCAATGAGCGATTTACAATTTTGTGCGACACAAATATACACTTAAAATAAATAAAAAATTGAGAGTTTTGTACGGTGACACCACCTGCACATGTCAAGGCCAATCCTGACTATAAGTATTTCTCAAGTAATTTTACCATAAGAGTACTTAGTACTATTTTGATGAAAAATTGGATCCTTAGTAACCCTAAACCCTATATATGTGCTCTGATTGTTCAAGAAGAAGAGAAGTACTAATTAATAAAGATAAAAGTATAACACTTGTATATATCCATCATATATTCATATAAAAACATTTACACCTGAATTAAGCAAGCAGAGACAAGATTTTCATTATACCTATTTGTATATATACGTACAACTTCTATAAATAGTTGGATTAATGAAAAGGATGCAACAACAAACTTTTTTTGCGGACTTAGTTAACTAAGTAGACTGATCAAGTACTGATGTGGGAGAGAAAGAAGCCTCTGAGTTATTATTGGTAGGCATGGACTTTGATCGCTTCATCCAAACCGATGACGTGGACCGGTGAAACCGGCACCGGAATGAGCCTTGATGTGTCGTTGGTGAGCACAGACATTGACCTTTTTGTGAAGTAATTGATGCAGCTTCTGCGTTGCCACCATTTTCTGGAGTTGTTGAGACTTTCAGGCCACTGCCATGGGAGGCCATGTTTTGATAGAGGATAGTGATACTAATGAAGGAAAAGCTTATATAAATTTATTGCCAGATTGCCTTTATATATAGGAGGAAAGAAGGGAAAAAAAAGGGATTTTATCCTCGAAGAGTGTGCGGTCAGAAGCGATCTAGTAAGGCAATCAAGCTATATCTTTGATTCCTACCCTTATTTGTCTCTCTAGAAACCAAATTAAGAATTTGTCTTTTCGTACTGTCATGTGATTCATTTATAATGTTAAATGTCTATATAATGTGGTCATCGTACATCGTTCGGCCAATTTTCGTCAGGTATTATTTATATTCAATTTTAAATAAAAAATTAATAATGATTTCTGACCGTACGATGTACGATGAACTGAAGTGATTGAAGGATTCCTAAGATCCTCACAACATTAATATTATCAGATAGGTGCATGGAATATTAGTTATATCATTCATTTATATTCTATTATCATAATTAATGATATCATGTAACAACGTAATTGTTTTACAAAAAAATTATTCATAAATAAGTTAATTTTGTTTTTTGTTTGTTGTTTCTAACCTACATCTGTGCTTTTCACGAAGTTAATAGACTCTAAACCCTTGGTTGTTATGCTAATCCGGTCTAAAGGTTGAAAAGGGTGGCTAAAAACAGATGAGGAGTCATTATCTCAACTTCTAAATAAATGAATCATTTTTACCAAAAACAAAAAAACAAAAATAATCATGTATTAGAGAAGAGAATAGGACAAGATCATGAGATGGATTCCATAATCCACCCACTTAAGTTAAGAGTTTTGAGCCTATTCAAAACTCCTCATATAATAACATTTCACCAGTGTGAAAGGCAATACTGTTTTAAAAGAAAAAGTGAAAGGCAAATCATGAAATGTTTACTATTTTTGTTTGTAATGGGAATTAGAATATTTTGATTCCCGACTTTTTTTATGTTCCTTAATACATAGTGATTAAAATTATTTTTAATATTTTTTTCCCTTGAGTGTACTAACACATACGTAATAAGAAAGAAATCATAGATGACCCTCCCCACCTTGTAAATTGTAATGTACTTGAAAATTTAGGATTAAATTAGTTGTGGGGAAAATAATTGATCTTATCTCAACTCCTCCTCTCTCTTATTTCAAACTTGTCGATTCATGACTTCTGTCGTTAGAAGAAAAGTTGATGTGGAAGGAGACTTGAAGATAAAAAAAAGGGTGATATGTTGAGGTCGGTAAGGTGAATGGGTATAATAGCTAGTGGTTGCATGAAGATGAGGCTTCCATGTGGGAGGGATTATAAAGTATATGCAATATATATATGCTGATTGCACACGTAGCATACATTCTGATTAATTTGCTATTTTACACCAGACCATACATGGTCCATACATGTGCTCTCCCTACCCGAAGTCAAAAAGAATTGGCATCTCCCATTATTGCTTAAGAGCAAGAGCTTTTCATTGTCATCGGTCTGACAACATTAAACTTTAACAAGCTAAACCGTATATTTTTCAAGTTTCATTTCCTAAATCATCTTTGTAAAATATTAGCCAAATCAGAAATATTTGAGACATCTAATTGAGTTCAAAAAAATTGACACACTTTGGTCTAAAGAAAACATTGAAATTTTATCGTGATAATTAAATAAGCAAATAGTTTCGGATTGAATTGATTTTTTGTAAGGATGATCTATGATATTGAAACTTACAAAGTAGATAGTTTGGATAGTTGAAGTTCGATGTGAAGTGGTTCCACAACTAATTCCCATTTTTGATAAAAATGAAAATCTCTTCCTTTAAGGGGTCTGTTTATATATATTGTCTTAGCCATGCATGACATGAGCCCATATTGAAGATATGGGTTGTTCATGACTAATTGATATGTATTCTTGTTGTTTCCGACTTAACTAGGTTAACTTCTTCATCCATACAAATTACAGGACCATTGCATCGTTTTTAATGTGTAGAAACTGAAATTGGCAGTTTGTTTGTTGCGAGCTTGTTTGATTTTCACAAGCTAATGAAATTGGCAATTTTTTTTTCTTTTTGTTTTTAAAGGAAACGATGATAATAGATTAGACAAGTCGAATTATTCATAAGGCTTGTTCATTAGTCTACCAAAATAGTCTTGTTCTCAAAATCCGCGCAAGATAGTCAGAAAGAACCAAGATTTTGGAATTAGTCATCAATTACAAAGTCGGCAAAATAAAGGGATAGTCTTTAAACCAAAGAATGCTTGTTAGTGATAGTTTGCTTCTGCAAGACGGTGAATGTTCATACAATTTATTTCTTCTTAGAAGAAACCATTTTTCTATGTACGTAATGTTAATTTCAAATACATCTTTGAAATCAAACACAAACATACCAGGCTATGCATGCGCTGTCTCATACTACAGCAATTTCAACTTGAATTACACGGTTATATATATCCTTGTATTATGTTATCTTATCTTTATAAATTATATCCTTGTAGGAATTTGTATGAAATGATACCCCACCAACCTTCTTTAGTTTTTATTTTCTTTTGAAATTTGGGGTGGTGCCTAACGGACAAGGATTATCTGCCCTCCTTATTCTCGTGCCCTCTCATACCCTCATGTTTGTGTAGTCACGGTTAAGCCACGTCAACATTTTATATTACTATTCATTTTTGTCCTATTATGTCTATAAAAAAACAATATAAAATGTTGACGTGACTTAACCGTGATTACACAAAACATGAGGGTACATGAACAAGGAGAGCAGACAATCCTTGTCCGTGCCTAACACCTTCCCTAATCCAATCCCTTCAAGTTTCGTTTTCGTTCGATGATAGCGATGACCTTTTTAAGTTATCAAGATAGCATATATATATATATATGAAATTCAACAATGCAAGTCGGCTGGCTTGTTATGATTCTTCTTTTATCTATTGCGCATTACTCATCTGAACTTAATTTAAGCTCCAAGAACTGCATTTTGGTTTGATTAATCTACCTTGGGATGTATCCATTTATGTCTACATCACTCATCGTAAATCTATCTTAAACTGTGAATATGTCTATGTACATCTAAACACACTCAACAAAATAGACACAAGTAAATGTACCACCAGTTTCATAACGGATTTTCTCGTCTACTAGACTCTAAATTGGCAATAAAATGACTTACTGATTGGTTATCCTTTAATAATACTAGCTCTTTTAAAAAATTGAGACTTTTTTTAGTGACTCGAGTGAGAATAGTACTTCTCACTCGAGTTTTCCCTTAATAATGTTTGCATACATATATATAAAAGAATTGATTATTTGATTTCGGGTTTATATGTGAGAATCCAATGATTGAAAGATCCGTTTACTAACCATTTAATTTTTTTTTTCATTTTCACTTTAATATAGCTTACACATGTGGCAAACACAAAAAGTGAAAACAAAACAAAAGTCATTTTTTGGACAAAAAAAAAGAAGACGTTATTTTCTCTTAAAAAACGACGAAATAGATATTAACAGATCTAAATCGTAAATACAGACCTAAATGCGATTATTGATGTATGAACGCACGGCATGTCATACGGGTTAAGAAAAATTGGATAAGTTTAGAAGAAAATGTCAATGATGCCCGAGTGTTCCTTCTTCATCTGACTGGATCCACCATGCATTGAAAGTAACAAGCTAAATAAAAATGGCAAAGAAAAAAGGAATAATTAACAGCCAAAAATACAAAAAAAAAAAAAAAAAAAAAGGCAGCTAGAAAACAACTACCAGTCAAGGAACAAACTACCAGTCAGTTTGATCTTTTGGTTTTCTTCTCTCTCTGGGGGCTCATAAGTGCCTTTGCTAAGTTATCACTTTCAAACGAAGAAATCTTGTCTCAGTTGTTCCTGAATTTTCGAGAAAAAAGTTGGAAGTAATTTTAATCGAGAAAGATCCATGGCGAGAACCGGCAATAAGAATATACAAGCCAAGCTGGTGGGTATGTCTTCCTTTTTATTTTTACTTTTTTCTTTTATTCGCTTAATTAGTTGTATGCATGATCTATTGAGTTATTGCTAATTACTATTGTCCTTAGTAATTTTGTGAGGTTAATTGAGTTTTGATATGATTCTGATTAACTTGATGAGCACCATCCACGATGATATATGATATGACTCTTAGGCTTGATTATAGCGATGATTCCTGAATTAGGATTCTCGCAGATATTTACATATATATATATATATATATATATGTAGATATCTATTAGTAGGCAAAATATCCAATTGCAAGAGCGGAGCTCTACCAACCGAGCTCTATCCCCCCGAGCCAAGTAGAGCATGCATGAAGGAGTCAAATGCTTCTTCTATTCACTTAGCTATTAGATTGTTAAAATTGTCACATTTTATCAATAAATATAATTTCGCATTGAAATTTTTGTAAATTGGTTAACTTCGTTATTATGATTGTTTCCAGGTACTTCTTGGGGACATGGGAACTGGGAAAACAAGTTTGGTATTGAGATTTGTGACTGGAAAATTTTTGGAGTACCAGGTTTCACTTTGGATCAAATCTTAATTTCTATGTACAAAATGTAGAATACTAGAATATTTGTTCATGGCTTTTAATTAATATGAGTACTGTATAAATGCAGGAATCAACAATCGGAGCAGCTTTCTTCACTCAGGTTCTGTCACTAAACGAAGCTACTATCAAATTCGATATATGGGACACCGCCGGCCAGGAACGGTACCACAGCCTGGCTCCAATGTACTACCGCGGTGCTGCTGCAGCTGTTGTGGTGTACGATATCACAAGCATGGTATGGAGACTAGTCCAGAACAGTTTCTATCGTCACGTTTGTTGCTAGGTCTTCTCATGTTCATGTTTGTCACATAATGCCTTGAACATTTGTTGGTAATCCAAAATGGCTGCTGCAGCTTAATATGCTCACTGATTAGCAACAGAAAGATTTCCTTTAAGCAACTTCAACCTCTAGAACTTCGGATAATACTTGGCTCGTTTGGTACCTAGGATTGGATTGGATTGTTATTTGTCGAATGATTTAACAACGCTTCACTAATGATATCTCTTATGTTCAATATGTGGTGTGTTTGCTGCAGGATTCATTCCTTCGGGCGAAAAAATGGGTTCTAGAAGTGCAACGACAAGGTGAATGCATGCCAGTTTTTGTACTTAAAGTTTCATTTTCAATTAGTTTTCGCATCAATTCGAATGAAGTTTGATATTTGTTCAAGATAACTGAAATTTGTTCAATATTTTTCAAATCAGCAAATCCAACCTTAATAATGTTCTTGGCTGGTAACAAGGCTGATTTGGAAGATAAGAGAAAAGTAGGGTCTGAGGTATTCACTCTTCACCAGGACACATTTTGTACATGTAATTTATTGATTCTTCAAGTTTTTCTCATGAAATTTATATTTTGAATTTATTTTTGACTGCAGGAAGGTGAGCAATATGCCAAGGAAAATGGTTTGGTTTTCCTTGAAACATCTGCAAAAACTGCACAGAATGTCAATGAGCTCTTCTATGAAATAGGTACATACTTATCACCCTTTCATAATGTTTTTCTTTTCCGATAGAAGTGATATTCTACTTTAAACTAATCTAAATTGCGGGGAAGAGGATTCAAACTCGGGTGCATAGAGGGAGAATATCCGCTCTAATTGACTAATGTGGCTACGCCCACGTCTCCCACCCTATATAATGTTTGGAATAATAAGTATTCCAAGTTTTCCGCTTGATTTGAAATCAATTGGGCAGTATTCGAGTTGTATGATCCAATTCCATCAGTCCATTAGCAAATATTTTTGAAAAACGCTTATGAAAACAAGTCTTTTTTTGCAGCAAAAAAATTGGCCAAAGCTAGCCCTTCTCGTCAATCTGGGATAAAACTGCATAGCAGATCACCTCAAAACAGCAGGAGAATGTTCTGTTGCTCTTGAGTCTTGATGATTTCGGTATGCATTTTCATTCGCTGTATCTTGCCTCGATTTCAATTTTGGTCACCGTGTTTTATTTTCTGTTAAATTCGACGATTACAAAGATACTAAACTTCTTTTAACAGGATTGTGAACAATTTCAAGGACATGGTTCAACAAGATGGAGAAACTAACTAAAACTATGGCTGTATCAGAAATGAATATCCATCTGCAAGCTCTGCCAACCTGCTACAAGATATGAATTTCCTTTGTTTATGTTGTACAAATTATAAGAATTATTTCATTATGTTAATTGATGTTAAAGAGTGATTGTGGAACATAATTATAATGAGAAGCAAAATTTCACACATAAAACGTGCCATGACGGTGAATAAAACAATCTACGCTTTCTTGGTGTAGCTTGAAAGATCAATAAAATTTCGCCACCAAAGATTGAAAAATAACCTACCTATATATCCCCGTCCCATGAGATATACTCATGTGCCCTCGAGTAATGAGACAGTTGTTCCTAACACTGTCATCAACACATGAACTGTGGTGTTGGAACAATTGTCCAAAAACTTGATTGTATGTTTTTCTCTCGTGCGGAGAGAGAGGTACACAACGGGGTTGGCGAAGTTCCTCTTGTTGTTAGTTTGTTCATCAGTGCACAACGGAAAGATATTATTGGCTGTAACTGTTCTATTATTTTGCTCTACACATCTCTCTCGTTACATGATTTGTCATGTGATAAAATAGATAAAGATATCCAGCAGGTTTGATTTGTCATGTGATAAAATAGATAAAGATATCCGGCAGGTTCAATTGCATTGTTTATCTCAAACCAAATACACACTCTCACTCTCTCTCTCTCTCATTCTTACCGAAGTGGACAAAAACCTCCAGCAGGTTTCAATTGCATTGTTTATCTCAAATCGAAGTCCCTTAAAAACAGACTTTTTTTTTATAATTTTTTTATTTGTATTTTTTGTTTGTTGAATTTTTGTTAGTCCACCATTTCCCGTTCACGTGCACACCCATCCAATTTCTCACAATTTCTCACGTGTAGAAAAATGAAATGAAACTGCTTCTCCATAAACTAGTACAAAAGCAGGTGAAAACAAGAAAAGTACTTCTGGCTCTCTGCTTTTGCAGTTTGGGAGGGAAGGAAAAGAGACAAGCATGGCATGGCTTGGATGGACCAGCCATGACCAACGCATGCAGTGAAAAGCTGATCGGAGTACTGTCTTTCCATTTACAAAAAAACTTACCATCATGTGGATATTATTGTGATGATGTCTTATGCTAATCATGAATTGTCACTCATTTCATTCGTCGCACTTAATATTGAGTGATTAGTTTAATATTTCGTCATGGTGAAAACAACCCTCAAAATGCCATGGAGACGTTTGAAGCTAATAATAACTTAACTACTTAAGTAAGAATATCGGCCACGTCATTTGTCCATCTGAAAAATGAGACCTCTAGAGAATGGACAAGGATTGTCTACCTTCCTACTTCCATACCCTCCTGTTTGTATGGTCACGGTTAAGTCACGTCAACATTTTATATTTCTATTCATTTTTGTCTTATTATCTCTATAAAAAAACAATATAAAATGTTGATGTGGCTTAACCGTGACCATACAAAACAGGAGAACACGGAGAGCACCGAAAGTGGGAGGGCAGGCAATCCTTATCCCTAGAGAATTGCTCTAATAGGGCAACTCTATCAAAAATAGATCTATGTATTTGATCATACCTAACCCATGTAATGTAAACCTGCTCAATATGAGAATTGCTCCGGTAGGAGAGAATTTTTAGTGTGATCGGTACATGGAATGATACATCACGTGTTACTATGCAAATGATGAGATATGTGTGCTAAAAAGTTAATAACTTAAAAAATAAAATTTCACACCACTCTTATTAAAACACGCGGTGTACCATTTGTGTTCCCGTCATAGCTAAAAATTTCTCCTCCAGTAGGGCAACTCTATCAAAAAATTATCACCGTTGTAGGGAAGTTATTCTCTCCGACGTAGATCACAAAAAACCCATCTCTTTATGACAATATAATATCCTAAACTACGAGGAGAATTAAAAGAGAGTCGAACTTGGATGCACAAAACCAGATACAAATATAATACACTAACCTACCTAATTCGTATTTGCTACGGAAAAAAACCATATAACTAAAATTAAAAAAAATGAAAAAACGAAGAAATATAAAAGCTCTAATTAATCACCATTAAGGAGAAGTGGAACGAGAACCAGAGGAGGAAGAGAGGCCATTGTTACTATTGGAATCAATACCCGAAGTGCCAAAAGACCTTGCATCTCTGAGAGAAACAGAGCAAGCCCCCGCAGGGAGCTTCTTCATCGGAGTCAAAGGAGGCGTGGTAATTGGGTTTGACGGACCTGAGGGGGTTCGTTGCGCAACCTCTTCGTCCCCGGAGCTTGAAGAAGAACCCCCATTTCCATCCTTGATGGCGACATGTCCGGCGTTTGGAAAGGAGTGTTTGTTTCGCTTGCCCTGCCGATCGCTTCGTTGGAAATGTACACAAAATGCTCTGCAGCTCCACCACCGCAACCGCCGCTGCCGCCACCAGCTTTTTCGTTACAATTAGCACCATGACTGGGACTAATTTTGTCATCTGGGGTTGGTTGCGGGGAAGTTACAAAAGAAATTGATGGGGAGGGGATTGACAAAATTATCCCTATACGGCAGGGAGATGTGTTTGGTAACATTTCTTGGTTTTGGACCGGGATGTCGAAAACTTGGAGGAGCTGAGAGTACTGCTTCTCTGTACCTGCACAGTCTTCTTCTTTGGAAGAAACCGGTAGGGAAAGGTAGCTTCTTGGAGCGCGATGAATACCTAAGAAGCCGCCGAGAGAAGGGCCGGTTGGGTGGTCTTGAGACTGCTGTGTTGAGGGCAGATGAGGAGCGGCTGTGGCGGCCGCTGCAGAGTCAACGACGGTGTTGGAGTAGCTGTTGGTTTGTGCTGGCGGCGGCAGAGGAGGAGTGAGCAGTAGAGCTCGGCCAGCAGCACCAAGATCAAGCCTAAGACTATGTCACCACCATCACCAGTGTTGCCCCCATTATCACCTTCGACGTGCCCTTCATCTCTCTCTCTCTCTCTCCCCCTCACTTTCTATCTCTAGACTGTGGTGGACTGAGGGAGGAGAAGAGTGTCCTGGTGTTATATTGGAGGCCGAGCACAGAGCAGCTTTATTGTTTTGGCGGGAAACAGTACGTTACCTGTGACAAGGGAAGGGAATGTAGAGGGGCAAATAGTCCTGGGGAATGTAAAGGCTTTCCCTTCTGACAATCAAGGTCAAATTAGTCATTTGGCACTAACACTAAACTACAAATTTACCTCTCTATCCTTGATTGAAGACAAAATTTCCGAAAGTGTGTAACTGTTATTTTATGATGAACACCACTCGACAAGAAGCATTCTCAATTATCCATTGAAACTCAAGACACTATAACAAATTCTACAATGATGACTCCAATGATTTGAAATTTCGGTAATATATGATTTATTAGATGCAGTGTGAGGTAAAAAAGACCAACCGTCGGATGCTACCGTGCCACTCAACTACCGGAAACAATGGTCGCCATCGAGCTCATACAGTTAAGATTCTTGCTTTTACCCTTTACATTCCTCTTAGGGCTGCAAATTGGGCGGCCAAATCTTCGTAGTCCGGTAGCTTGGGATGCACATGCTTAGCTGGATTGGACCTGTCGGGTTGAAACGAAGCTGCACGAGCAAATACTTTGGGTGCCTCTGATGGACCGCTATGTTCATGAGGAAGGGAAACTGATCTTACTGCTGTTGGAACCATTTCGGAATCATCTCTGCTTGCGTGTCTTGGGGATTCACCAACACCAGTGCCTGCATGCTGTGTGTGACGACTTCTCGACTTTCTTCTTGACAATTCTGAGTCCAAGTTAGATGGCTTTTTACTGTAATGAATCAGAAGCTCGTCCATTCTCCTCTCTTCTTCATCCTTCTTATAGTGCTCGTCATCAAACAACAGTTGCAGACCTCGTCGTGACTCATCCTTTCTCCTGCTTCTTGTTTTTCTGATTGCAACTTCTGTATCTTGACTGTTTCCAGCATCATTGTGAGAGGACCGAGATCTTGAGTGTCTCCTCCTAGAAGATCTTGGTTTTGGTATGTGGTTGCTAGATGCATCATCCCGATGAGCACAATCCTTCTCATGATCATGACCATTAACTTTTGTAGCAGCAGGCTTCTCATCCTCATCATCAGATCCTACGCTTACCCCTCTGAGTATATTGTCAACAAAGGCTATGTTATACGCTACAGGATCCTTAGTGATGCGCTTGCTGCCAGAACCATCCTTGACTTCATGTTTTCTATCTTTTGCTTTGGCATTCGGTTTCACATACGGAGGAGGGACCCCATAATTGTAGGGGGGCTTCAACTTAGGCATCTCTTCTTCTTTAATTCCTAATTTTGCGTCATTTTGTTTGCCACCATAATTGTCATCAGCAAATAAGCCTTGACCGTTGCTTTTCACATGAGGTCCAGCAACACTGGGCTGTACACGAGGTAAAACTTCATGGAAGTCTCTTTTAGGAACATTGTTCTCCCTCTCGTGACCCCTTTCCTGTCCTTTTCCTTGAGATGAACTGTCTGATCTAACTGACTTTGGGGGAGCATCCTCCTTTCTATTCCAAGCTTCATATTTGTGGGAAGCAACTTCTTGCCTTTCCTGGAACAAACTTCCACCATCTATTTCCATGACAGTATCTTCACTGGCACTGAGAGACTTGTGTTCTTTTCCCAAGGGTCTATGCCTAGTCCGATGAACGTGATCGTCCTCCTTTCTATTCCATGCTTCATATTTGTGAGAAGCCAATTCTTGCCTTTCCCGGAACAAAATTCCATGGCCATCATTTTCCATGACAGTATCTTCCCTGGCACTGAAAGACTTATGTTCTATTCCAAAGGGTCTATGCCTAGTTTCAGGAACATGATCATCTTTTTTCAATACAATACCGAGCTTCTCCTTGTGTAATTTCTGAGCATCATTAAGATCAAATCTCCTTTCTGTGGGTAAAAGATTATGTTCTCCTTTTGGGCCTGCAGATTTCCCAGTAGACAATTTGCTTTTATCGTCACTAACATGGGAAGGCCCGTAAGTTTTTGGCTTGTCCTGCAAGGTCCAGTCCACAAGTGATGTTTAATTTGAGAAAGCAATGTTTTTTATCATGAATTCCTCATTGTATCTGATATAGGTGTTATGGCAACAACAGAGTAGGACATACCTGTGTAAACGCAGGAGGAGGTTTTGCCATCCTCTGTTCAAAGGCCTTGGAGTCCCAATTTATTGAGAACTCTACCGCTATGTCTTTCAATAACTGAATCTTCTTCTCCAGTGTAGGAGGCTTTGAAGCTATGTTCTCAACAAACTATCAATTAATAATGCAGTAAGTTAGCTTAAAGCAGTTACGGATGCATAAAGTTCTATATGACATGTCGATAAAGAAGTACCTTTTGATTCACAAAATACTCCAGAGAATTTGCGTATCTCTCTTGAAAAAGTTGCCTAAGGTCACGCAACTCTGGTAAATCAGAGAACCTTGCGGCAGCAATCATCAGCGATGACACAGGCTCCTTACATTCCTTAGGGCAATCACTACAAAGAAAATAGCGTAGCAAAGGGAATGTTATCTTGAGTTTCACTACAGGACTGTCATCTCCTTTAGCAGGAAACCGAACAATTTGTTTGGATTATTTCCTAATGTGCATAATATTAGAGAAATAATATCAGGTTAACAAACAAAATGGAGCATTGACGTAGAATCAGCTGAAAATATCTGGGGCAGAACCATAGACAAGTTGTGCTTATGAGAATTGCAATCACGTGACAATATGTCCACACTTCTTTACGCATTTTTACTGAAACCAATATTTTTCCAACAAGTATTTCCCCTGGTCGAAACAAATTACCTCACTTGATGTCTCCTTTCTCATCAACAGGGGCAACGTATCTTATCAAGCCACTTAACGAGAAAATGTCAACTAAATCTACAGCCATTTTTGCGACTTCTAACACAATCAGCCACAAATTATACAAATGCGCATATCATATAACACAATAATTCACAAAGTTGACCATAACATGTAGAGAAGAAACATATTAAAATAGCATAAAATTGGTATAAAGTGTTCCAATCCAATATCAAAAGAGCGGTTGCACGCTAAATAGGTAAAGAAAATTGAGTGATCGGTTTTGGCAGCAAACAATCTCTAAATTCCCACAACAACTCAAGAACGAGGTGTACCTTTCTTTCTGCATAATTGAAAGATTCTTGAGCACCAAATCACAGCATCGCTCAACGAAATCATAACACGAAGAAAGGATCAACTCCGCTGTGAGTCCATCAGCCTGCATTTACCAAATATAGCATACTCTTGCTTTAGGTGCACAAGTAGGCAAAACAAAACTTGGTCCACATCACCAACATATTTTGTCTGATTTCCGATTAATTAAAAACCTTGCACATTTTATTTAATTTAATCCAACGATTCTTATCCTTTTCAAAGAGCAAATATCGTAAAATACAAAAAGGCAGAAAAACAAATTTTCTCGGCGACCAAACAGATTGCAGAAAATTCAAACCCAAAAATGAAATCAAAGAATCAAAATCGAAGAGCAGAGTAATCAATCAATCTCACCCTTCCGAAAGCATTGATATCAAGGCCATTGGTGAGCAGATCAGCGATATCCTTCTTCAGAAACTTCTGCGTCGCGTTCCTCTTCCTCCGTATCACGTCGATCCGAGTCTTCGTCAATTTAATCAGCGATTTGCTGCAAATCAAAACATGCAGAATATATATACACATATATATATTTCTATTCTGATATACATAGAGAGGTAGATGCAAATCATGCAACTGTATATGGAGAGAGATCTGAGGGCAAACGCAAACCATTTGGAGGCAAATCCACGGCCGAGCAGCCCGTCCAACATTTTTCAATAACTCGGTGAGCGATTCGACTCAGCGACTCAGAATGTATGAGCACGCATTGACAGAATCGCAGTGCAATAGAACAAGAACAATAACAGTAGAAGAAAAAGAAGAAGAAGAAGTGTCTCTCTCTCCTCTCTCGCTCTCGCTTTTCTGAACCGCTTCAGGACATTTTTCGAACTCTCACTCGGCCACCAAACTGATGGGAGAGGGAACTTTTGTGACAACAAGGCCCTTGCTCTTTCACCTTTCACACCGACGTTGACGCGGGTAACGACCCGTTTTTATAACGTTACGGAGGGTGTTTTGGGGAAATAAGTGCGGATTTGGTGGGTTTGGAGATCGTGGTCGTTGGAGGGAATACTTTGTGGCCAACTGGAGGGTGTCCGGAGGGAGGTAGGGTAATCAAGTCAAGGTGGGTAAATGACGAGTCAGCCCTCCAGGAGTTGATAGAATCCGTTGAGCTGGACCCAGACCGTCCAATGCTTTAGGCTATCTCCGACCGAGCGCTGGCCAGAGGGCTCGTTTGAGCCCTCTGGCCCTCCAAGATTCTCCAAGATATTAATATTTTAATGAACAGTACAGGGCCATATTTGCCTCTGTCTCCAACCGAGGGCCAGAGGGCCAAATGGCTCGTTTTAGCCCTGTCACAAAAAACCGTCTCCAACCGAGGGTCAAAGGGCCATAGGGCCAAACTATAATTTATTATTTAAAAACTATAATTTATTATTTGTGAAATAGAAGTTATAGGAAAAAAAATATGAATCAAATTTTGTAAAATAGAAGTTATAGGAAAAAAATAGAATTTAAAAAAAAATTGAAACAAATTTTGTAAAATAGAATTGAAAAAAAATATGAAACAAAATTTGATTAATATGAAAAGGAAAAAAAAAGGGGAAAAAAAAAGTTTAAATTCATTAAAAAAAAAAAAGCCTAATAATACAACGGCTACTAGCCGTTATATTAAAAAACATTCAAACTATTAGTGTCGGTTATAACCGACACTAATAGTAGAACTATTAAAAAAAAAAAAACCTCTTTAATGCTGTCGGTTTTAACCGACAGCAATAGAAAACATTAAAAAAAAATAAGCCAGCCCGGGGCTGGCTGGCTGGCCGAAAGCAGCCAGCCCTCCAGCCCTCTCCGATCCCGTGGGGCCCTTCCAGATTCCAGAGCCCTCTGGCCTAGCCCTCGGTTGGAGACGGTTTTATGGCTATTTTCGGCCATCTGGCCCTCTGGACCCTTCGGTTGGAGATAGCCTTATTTGGGTCACATTCCTTAATTTTTTTAATTAACCTTTTTGATAATAATTATTATTTTTAATTATATATTGCTTTCATGCGACAATGAAATGATCATTTTCGGTCTGACAGAAGAAAATGAAGAGCGTTGATAACGGCCAATTAACCGATTGATCAGAAATCGGTCTGAAAAAAATGATTTTCTTTTTTGGATGGTCCACAGATTAGCCGATCTAGGAAAGAAAAAATGGAAGTTTCTCGACAACGGATGACGTCCTCAGCTCGGTCATTACATCGATGGGTCTTTGGTTGGCATGATCTCTCTCTGTCGCTAGCCTACCCCTTGAGCTTAAATTATTATTTATTTTTTTAACTTCATTTTAATGATTTTAATTAATTTTTATATGATTTTAAAAAAATTTACATGACAATATTTAATTAGACTTGTGAGTCTCACATAATTGTCACATCATCTACTAATATAAGTTTGACGAAATTCTAACTCAATGACGACATTGATTTGTATTACTCATATTCAAATATTACATTGATCGAATAACTCCACGTCTTCCAGAGCCTCCATTTCGAACAATTAAAGTGAATTGCGATGGGGCTTGATATAAGCAAACGGGAAGGGGTGATTTTGGGTGGGTTGCTAGAGATTTTGCTGGGATATTTAAAGGTACTGGAGGGGTGGGGAATATTTAATGTGAATCTAGTTCGATGGTGGAGGCGGAAGCAAGGAGGGTGGCTTTGTTGGCTTGTGTGGAGAGCGGGGGTAGTTCAAGTGGAAACAAATTCGAAGGTAATGGTGGACATGCTAAATGGTGTATTGCAATCGAAGGCTGTCATGGAAGGTGTTATATGGGACATTCACCATATTAAGTAGCAATTGAGTTCAGTTGAGTTTCTTTTCACTCCTCGTGCCTGTAATGGGGCTGCACATTTGGTGACAACTTGTGTCACGCGTGTAGGGGGCTATCATATGTGGGTCTGCTTTGAACTAGAGTGGTTGTTTAATGCTCTGACTTCTGAGGTAAACATTTCAATTCGTAATAATATTTGATCTTCGACAAAAAAAAAAAAAAAAAAAAAAAAAACTCCACGTTTCCTCTCTTCAACAAAGATATTATATTTTATTCAAAGGAAAAATGTTAAGGAGATTAAATATTTAGACAAAATTTGTTAAATTATATGACGTGGTTGTTGATGATTAGAATGTTGATTAACGTGTTTATTTTTTATTGATGACACATCGCATGTTTTACAAATTTAGTCTAGAAATAGTGTTTACCTAGCATTACTCTTATTCAAAATATAATGAATAGAAGATGTCAATTATTTCGAGATTTTCTAGTAGTCTCCGCAGTATTCTTTATTTTAGTATTTTTGTTCATTAAATACTTAATCAAGAAGGCGAGAATTAAAATTTAGGGAACTTTAATGAAAAACTCATGGTACTGTTCCCTTTAACGGAAAACCACATTTTTACACTAAAAATTCAATCCAGTTACTATTCACTTATTTTGTCCTTATCATTAAAGCTCAAAGTTTTCAAGCCCTTTTCATTAGTTTTTTTTTAAAATTTAACTACAATTTTTTTTTTTTTTTTTTTTTTTTAGGAAAAAAGAGATATTTCATTTCATTTCCAAAGTTTGACAAACTAAGAATTACATGGCAAAGAGAGGTCATCCTCAAGTGTATCACAAATGATAATTAGAGGTTCACAAACCAAGTATTCACACCCCCGACTGGAGGGAGAACCTAGTGAGTCTATGGGCAACTGAATTTGCTTGGCAATGAACATGGAAAACAGAAACTTCAGCGATCAAACGCATCAGGAATTTCTCATCCTCAATGATTAGTGCAATGAAAGACAAATCCATCGAAGGTACGCCTAATGCAGAAATTATCTGAAGTGCATCACTCTCTAAAATAACATTTTGATATCCCCTTTCAGTGGCCAACTCAAGCCCAGTTCGAACAACGAAGGCCTCAATTTGTGCCAGGGAATGCTGCTACTTACACCTTCCAGGACAACTACATAAAGTTATACATTATAAGATATTTCGAAACAAAATAAAGTTTTTAGTTAACTCGAACAGATCCATCTGCAGAGTCAGAAAGCACACAGGACTATCACATTCCACGTCTGCAAGCTTCTGCATGCCCCATTCATAGAGAAAGTTAGAAACCTACGTGGATGGATTAGGCTTTACAACTTTGCATCACCGCCCCACCACTTACGGAATCGACCAAAGCCATGTTAGAGAAAATGTAGAAATATAGAGAATAATCCGAATGATGACTTTGAAATACGACTTGAATTGTTTCTTTAAAGTGTTATTTGCCCTCATTCGAATGAGTTTGCTAAAGGGTTCTTGGAAAATCACTTCCAGGATACAACAAAGTATGGAATATTCGATTAGCAAAACCGAATTGTATTCCCTTAGAAATAACTAGAAAGAAATTGTATGAATGTGATAGAGAGAAAATAGAGCAAGGAATGTAGAAACAAATTTATAAAATTTGTGTATGAAACATTATGCCACAATAGGTATTTATATGCATTGAAGCACCCGTTCATCGAACCCTTTCATTTTAGTTGAAGATATACAACCATTCTTAATAGTGTTTATCCAAAAGATATGTCTTATATTTAGAATTTTCAGAAAATAAATATTGATTAATTACATTTTTTAATTCTATTCATACAATTTGAGTAAGCATCATGTATTTTAATCAAAAGTTGCAACCATTCAACAAAATATACAACTGTAAAAGGTTGAATGAAGCCCAACCTTTTGTAAAGGTTGTTGCCCATACAGTTTCTGCGCACCACAACACCCTTTATAGATTACACACACACATGATGCACAATGCAGCCAAGTCATATATATATAATTTATATATTTATTATTGAAATCTCTAACAATCCTTCCCAATTTCAATAATATGATAAATAATATAATAACATTTCTCTCTCTATAATTAACCACAAACATACTGATATAATCATGCATACAAGAAATGTGTCTTTCGAATTAAACCTTTAATTAATGTAAGAAATTCAAAGTTATAACGAATGCGATGGTGACTTAAGTTTAAACTAAGGTTTTAAAAAACGCTAGGCACTAGTTGGGCGGCTGGCTGGCGCCTAGCGCTTAGGCGGTTAGGCGGGGTCTAGGCGGATTTAGGTAAATTTATTGTATATCTTGTAAATAAATGCATATTGAAACTTACAAAAAATTATATTTGTATCAAATCCATAGATAAGATAATAAAAGAATGATAAAATGCAAAAAGAGTATCCAACAAGTCCAAAATTTAAAACACATTAAGCATATATGCCATATAACAATAGTGAGGAGTATTATAGAATGACACATGTACAACAAGTTCACAATTCAAACCACATATAAATTAATCAAATTTACGACATAATATATATAAATAAACATTAATACTATGTTATTTTCAAAAAAAAGGAAAAAAGAATATATATAGGTATATATGTTAAATATGAGGATACATGTAAACTTCAAAAATTGTATCATTTTGTAAGTCCATATTGTTGGGCCTCTCAATAAAATAAAACGTTGGCCCTGCATTCATTTTTTAATTAATCCTTCACCGACTGTTTAAAGGTGCTAGCTAAAGCAAAAAGTTGCAAATTTCTTAAAACCTTAACTTGCAGCTCTCTACAATTACACTCATTTTCTACAACTTGTTGCCGTGCCCATCTTTGCAAACCTTTTACAACCCATCGCCATTACCCATCCCTGCAATTGCACAAATCTCATCTACCTTTCTCTCTCTCTCTCTCTCTCTCTCTCTCTCTCTCTCTCTCTCTCTCTCTCTCTCCATATTCGACTTCTCTTTTAACAAATAGAGAGGCAGATGGCGAGACTCGGGGAGACAAGAAGGTTGTGAGTCTGGCGACAAAAGTTTCTTTTCCAGGCCGGCCCGACCGCCCAACGTCCGCAGAGCCCGCCCAAACGGTCACCTTACACCGCTTAATGTCC